GTCCCTGCGCGGGGACCTGGGCCCGGCCTGGCGCCCTCCGTGGGCAGCTCGGCGCCCGCAGCCCCGCGTGTGCCCGGAGGGTCACGGGGGGCCCGACTCGCTCTGTGCGGAGCTCGAGCCTGGAGCAGCCGGGACCTCAGGTGTCCCTGTCGCCCCCCGGGGGGACGGATTTTCATATCCAAGGGGTGTTGTGAGACTGGGGTGCAGGTCAGGAGCCGATATGCTTGAAGACGGGCCCGTTATTCTGCACGGCGGTCCACGACTCCGTCTCTTCTGCACCCCAGGTGGACGGAGGGGCTCCCCGGAATTTACTTACCGGACCCCGGGAAGTGCCCTTGTCAGGCCAGCCCGGGCAAGCTGGGTGTATATATGTAGCTGGAAGGGGAGGTTTTTAGAGAGTTTTTACATTGGTTCAGTTCAAACAACACAGACAACTGATTGGCTATGCCGCCTGCCTTTGATTTTTTTTTTTAAAGAATTATTTAATTTTGGGTTGGGTAGTTGATACGGTGATTAAGGCACTGGGCTCCCCCAGGTGTAACCTTAGTTCGAGTCACAAAGCTGGTGGCTTGATTTCTCACTTTTTTTTTTAAAATATATATTTACTTATTTAATTCTACTTGTTATTTTCATTATTTTGTAAATTAGACCAGACAGAATGAGAGAGAGAGAAAGGGAAAGTGAGAAAGCAAGCTGTCAGGCTCAGGACTTGAACCACAGTAAGCCATGTGGGAATCCAGCACCCTTACTCACTACCCCACCTGCCTGCTCTATTGCTTTCTCACATCTCTCTGGCTCTCTGTCTCTCTCTGGTGAATATACATGCCCTATTGCAAAACTTTAAAAAAAAAAAAAGTAATAATAACAAATAAAAGAAAATAAATAATAAAGCTTTAAAAGTAAATTATTATTATTAATTTTTAAAGAATTATTTAATTCTGTTTGTTGTTATATTTTTTAATTTGACCAGACAAAGACAGAGAGAGAGAGAAAGAGAAAGTGAGAAAGCAAACTGCCGGGTCTGGGACTCGAACCTCAGTTGGTTATGTCGGAATCCAGTGCATTTCACCATCATGCCACTTGCTGGCCCCTAATTATTATTATTATTTTTTATTTAGTACAGAACATGTGTGCTCACCAGAAAGAGAACGAGAAAATGAGAAAGCAAGCTGCCAGGCCCAGGATTTGAACTGTGTTCAGCCCCTGTAGGAGTTCAGTGTAAGCACCATGCCCCCGGTTGGCCCCACCTTATTTTTTTTCCCCTCCCAAATTGCCACCTTCCCGTGAATGGTGATTAAGATGCTGGATCCCACATGGCCAGTGATGCAGTGGAGTCCTGGACCTGGTGTGTGTGCCCAAAATCCTGAGAGGTGAAGGGATTGCACCATGGCCAGCCTCCCTGGGGGGAGATTTCTCTCTTTCCTTCTCTCTGTCTCTGTCTCCGTCTCCAGCTCTCCACCCTCTGGCAAATTACAAAGAAAAGCCGTCTCCAGCTCTCCACCCTCTGGCAAATTAAAAAGAAAAGTGCCAGTAGGTGACATGGTGGTTAAGGTGCCGGACTCCCACATGGCCATCCGTGGTTGGAGTGCCAGACCAGGCGCATGTGCGTGTGTGCCCAAATTCCCAAGAGGAGAATGGAGGAGAGGCGATGGCAGCGTGGCCATCTCCCTTGGAGGGCGATTTCTTACCTTCCCTCTCTCTGTCCCTCTGGCATGGTGGTTAAGGGCACTGGACTCCCATATGACTGACCACTGCTTGAGCCCTGGACCTGGAGGCTTGTTCTCTCTCTGTCTCTCTGTCCCTCTCTAGTCAGATTAAAACATAAATAAAGTGAAATAAAAATAATTATTTAAAAAATAGAAAGAAGCAAAGTCCAGAGGTCTCCTCACCCCGACACCCTTCCTTTCCGAGGACAACTGCTGGGGTTTACCTGAGGGACTTTGCCTGCGTCCAGAGTCACCTGCGTCCTGTGCGGTCTTTACTCCCCACTTGCCCTCCGGTCGCTTGTTGGTCTCATCCTGATCACAGAGGATTATTTATTGACCATTGTCAAACCACTGTTGACCAATAAATGATCACCTTTGGGGACCAGCAGCTGGCGTAATGGCTACGTCACTGGACTCCCATGTAGTTGACCTCAGTTCGAGTCCCGGACCCGGTGGCTTAAACTCACACTGGGCACGTGTGTGTGTGCCCAAGATCCCGAGAGGAGAATGGAGGAGAAGGGATTGCGGCGTGGCCATCCCCCCGGGGGGTGATTTCTCGCTTTCTGTCTTTCTGGCGAGCGCACGTACCCTGTACCAAAAAAAAAAGAATTATTTTGTATAGCTATATTTATTTATTTACTCATTTTAATTTGACCAGAGAAGGATGGGGGTTGGGGAGAGTGAGAGAGCAAGGTCTGGTGCTAGAACTATGTTCAGCCACATGGGAGTCCAGCGCCCTAACCACCACGCTACCTGCTGGCCCCTCTAGGCATATTTCAAGACAGAATTTTCCTCTTCATGTTCCAGAAGCAGAAAATAATATTTCTGAAAATCTCAATGAAAAGGACCAGCAGGTGGCGTGGTGGTTAAGGCACTGGACACTCCCATGTGGCTGAACATAGTTCTAGCACCAGACCTTGCTCTCTCACTCTCCCCAACCCCCATCCTTCTCTGGTCAAATTAAAAAAAAAAAAAAAGAGAATGAATGAATGAATAAATCTTTAAAAAAAAATCTCAATGAAAGAATTGGATTTCTGAAGGTGGATTTCAGAAATTAGTGAGGATCTTTTAAGAATGATACTACTGGAACTTTTTGATTTTCTTTTTTTTTTTTTTTTTGCCATAGATGCATGCACTTACTGGACAGAAACAGAGAGAAGGAAAGTGAGAAATCACCCTCTCCATGGGTGATGGCCATACCACAGTCACCTCCCCAGTCTCTTCTTAGAATTTGAGGCACACGTGCACACAGGTCTGGCATGATGTTTAAGTCGCTGGGTATGGGCCTTGATCCACAGTCGGCCATGTGGGAATCTAGTGCCTTAACCACCATGCCACCTGCCGGCCCCACTCTTAGAATTTTTAACTCTTGGGGACCAGCAGTTGGCGTAATGGCTATATGGCTGGACTCCCACATAGTCGACCACAATTTGAGTCCCGGACCCGGTGGCTTAAACTCACGGCGGGCGCGTGTGCATGTGTGCCCAAGATCCCGAGAGGAGAATGGAGGAGAAGGGATTGCGGCGTGACCATCCCCCCGGGGGGTGATTTCTCGCTTTCTGTCTCTCTGTCTCTCTCTGTCTGTCTGGTGAGCGCATGCACCCTATAGCAAAAAAAAAAAAAAACTCAAAAAAAAAAAGATTTTTTAACTCTTGGAGCCGGCAAGTGGCAAGGTGATTAAGGCGACTGGACTCCCTCGTGGCTGACCACGGTGCTAGTCCTGGACCTGGTGGCTTGCTTTCTCACTTTACTTCTCTCTGTCTCTCTCTGGTCAACTTCAAAAAAAATAATAATAATGACAATGAATAAAATTGAATAAAAGAATTCTTTTTGGGGACTGGCAGGTGACGTGGTGTTTGACACTGGACCCCCACATGACTTTCCACAGTTCAAGTTGCAGGCTGGCAGCTTGCTTTCTCATTCCTCTCTCTCTCCCTCCCTCTCTCTCTCTTTGGTCAAATTAAAATAAATAAATAAATAAAGTTAAATAATTCTTAAGGTAAAAGAAGAAAAACATTCTTTAAAAAAAATTATTTTGGGGGCTGACCTATGGTGTGGTGGTTAAGGGCACTGAACTCCCACATGGCCTACTGCGGTTCAAGTCCTGGACCTGGCAGCTTGCTTTCTCTCTCTCTCTCTCTGATCCTCTCTGGTCAAATTAAAATAAATGGATTAATAAAATTAAATAAAATCATCAAAAAAACTTTTAACTCTCAAACTTAATTATACACAGCCTCTGGTAACTGAACAATTAGAATTTAGGTTGCTCCTGTCTCTGTTCTGTGTCTTTCAGAAGATCTTGGCTTTTATTCTTTTTTTTTTTTTTTTTTTTAAGAGGTTTTGGCTATAGGGCGCGTGCGCTCGCCAGACAGACAGAGAGAGACAGAGAGACAGAAAGCGAGAAATCAGCCCCCAGGGGGGATGGCCACACCGCAATCCCTTCTCCTCCATTCTCCTCTCGGGATCCTGGGCATGCACACACACGTGTCCGGCGTGAGTTTTAAGCCACCAGGTCTGGGACGCGAACCGCGGTCGACTACATGGGAGTCCAGCAACATAGCCATTATGCTAACTGCTGGTTCCCAAGATCTTGGCTTTTTAAAAAAAATCTTTATAGAGATTTTTGCCATAGGACCTGTGTGCTTGCCAGAGAGATAAAGAGACAGAGATAGTGAGGGGGGTAAGTGGGAAATCACCCCCCGAGGGGGGATGGCCATGCCAAGTCCCTTCTCCATTCCCCTCCCGGGATCTTGGGCATGCACGCTCACGCACCTGGTGTGAGTTTCAAGGCACCGGGTCCAGAACTTGAACTGCGGTCGACCAGGTGGACGTCTAGCTATGTAACTAGTAGGCCATCGCTGGCCCCCTGCAGACGGGCTTTAATTCCAGCATGTGATAGCTACCGTAGCAGTCAGTTGGGTGGAATCGTCTCAAAATCGACTTACGCTGTCAAGCGTCCAACTTTTCGAGCCAGCGTTTGTAAGAGTACTCGTAGTCGGGACTGCTAATATTAACTCTTGTTCTGACGTTGACTAGTGAGATCTTATCAGTGGTACAGATCTCCTGAACAAAGGAGATTATGGGTGACCGGCCCTCCCGACACCCACCAACCCTCCTGGGAGGTGATTTCTCACTTTCCCTCTTCCGGTCTCTCTCTCTGTCCAGCGAGTACATAAGCCCTACCGCAAAATAAATAACGAATTAATTAATTTTTAAAATAAAAAATGACAGGAACGGCAGGTGGCATGTTGGTTAAGGAGCTGGACACTCCCATGTGGCCAACCACGGTTCGAATCCCAGACCTGGTGGCTTGCTTTCGCACTTTCCCCACCACTCCCTCTGTGTCTCTCTCTGGTCAAATGAAAAAATAATAATAATAATAATAAATGAATGAATAAAAACTTAAAAAGAGAGGTCAGCAGGTGGTATAGTGGTTAAGGCGCTGGACTCCCACCTGGCTGACCACAGTTCAAGTCTCAGACCCAATGGCTTGCTTTCTTACTCTCTCGCTCTCTCTCCCCTCTCTCTCCCCCCTCTCTCTCTCTCTCTCTCTCTCTCTCTGGTGAGCACATGTGCCCTGTATAGCAAATTACAATAATCATAAAAAATAGGTAATTTTTGAAAAAAATTTTCAAAAGAAAAGGAGAGATAGAAACCACTCCCCACACCCCATGGAGGCTGTGATTCCCCCACAATCCATGCTCTTTCATTTCTTCATCCTATCAGAATTCGGGGCGTGCACACACGTGTCCAGTGTGCTTTTCAGGCTCGCTGGGGTAGATGCCAGCTGCAGTCGGCCATGTTGCATCCAGCTCCCTTCACCACTAGGCTGTGGGTCTGGCCTGAGAGTCACAGTTATGATGACCAATTCATGGAGACAGCGTAAACCACAGACTCATGCGACTTCTAATGACTCTAGTTCTTCCATAGCACCGTCTCATCCGCCATCTTTTTTTTTTTTAGAGAGATTGTTTTGCTATAAGGTGCATGCACTCGCCAGAGAGACAGAGACAGAGAAACAAAAAATGAGAAATCACCCTCCGGGGGAATGGCCACACCGCAATCCCTTCTCCTCCAGTCTTCTCTTGGAACTTTGGGCACGTACACACGCACGCCCTGCATGAGTTTTAAGTTGCCAGGTCTGGAAGCCAAACCGTGGTCAACTACGTGGGAGCCTAGCAACATAACCATTACTCCGTCGGCTGGTCCCTCACCCCCACCTTCTGCTCATGTGCGATGTTTCAGGCTTCGGTGGCCTTTGAGGACGTGGCTGTGAATTTCACCAGAGAGGAGTGGGCTTTGCTGGATCCTTCCCAGAAGAAACTCTACAAAGATGTGATGCAGGAAACTGCCTGCAACCTGGCCTTCGTAGGTAAGGAGAGCATTGCATCCCTTCGCCTGGGTAATAAGCATTTCTTTTTTTTTTTTGGCAGGGGAGTTTTGTTTTTGTTTTGTTTTGTTTTGTTTTTGCTATAGGGCATGTGTGCTCACCAGAAAGACAGAGACAGAAAGCGAGAAATCACCCCCCCGGGGGGATGACCATGCCACAATCCCTTCTCTTCCATTCTCCTCTCGGGATCTTGGGCACGCACGCACACGCACCCAGCGTGAGTTTAAACCACCAGGTCCAGGACTCGAACCGCAGTCGACTACATGGGAGTCCAGCAACATAGCCATTATGCCAACTGCTAGTCCTGGGTAGTAAGCATTTCTTGCATATCAACATTGTTCACTGATTTGGACTGTGGAGAGGAAGACACTGGTGAATTAACCAGGGCTGGCAACAGTGTACTAGGAAGATAGAGTCAAATAACTTTTATGCGATTCTGTAATAATCCATAGTGACATTTTTTCCCTGCATTATAGGAAGAAAATGGGAATGCCATGAAACTGAAGATCAATATAAAAATCCCCAGAGAAATCTAAGGTAATACACACTAACAAGAAAAAGCATTATACCTCCAGTGATTTTTATAACTAAAATTTTTTTAAAGAATTAATTAATTTTATTTATTATTATTATTTTTTTTTTATGAGAGATTTTTGCCATAGGGCACGTGCACTTGTCAGAGAGAGAGAGAGACAGGTACAGTGAGAAGGAAAGTGAAAAATCACCCCTCAGGGGGAAGGCCACGTCACAATCCCGTCTCCTCCATTTTTCTTCTGCAGTCTTGGGCATGCACACACACACATGTGCATGGTGTGGTTTTGAAGCCACCATGTTGGGACTTAAGCCACGTGGTTGCCCTTGTGAGTCCTGTGACGTAACCATCTGCTGGTCCCATTATTATTATTATTATTATTACTATTTTAATTTGACCAGCGAGAGACAGAGACAGAGAGAAAGGGAAAGTGAGAAAGCAAGCCTCCAGGTCTGGGACTCAAACCACAATCAGCCATGTTGGAATCCAGCACCTTAACTACCACACCACCTGCTGGCCCCTCAATTTACATTGAAACAATTGAGAAATAACAGAATGTTACACTTTCCCTGCCCTTGCCAAAATGTAAGTTTGATACCTTTAAAGAAATAAATTATTCATAAACCTCTAGTGACAGACCTCTCATGTCTTACAGACAGCATACGTTAGAAAGCCGCTGTGAACGCGACGAAGGTGTTCCAGGTGATGTTCAGAAGGAGAGCCCTCCTGGCGCTAAACCCCACAACAGCGGTGTTTATGAAGAAGGCTTCGTCGGTCCTTTATCCCTTCAGCACAGAAGTGCTCTCACTGGACGGAAACCTTGCAAATATCAAGAATGTGGACAAAAACCTTACGAATGTGAGAAATTCAGGGGATCCGCACCTTCTCTCGCGGGGGCCCAAAGACACGTGGGCAGGCACCCTGGCGACAGGCTGTACAGGTGTGAGGTGTGCGAGAAAGCCTTCGAGTACCCTAGTTTACTGCAAGTCCATTACAGAACTCACACCGGCGAGAAACCCTACGTGTGTAAAATGTGTGAGAAGTCCTTCAGACAGTCCAGCTCCTTGCACATACACGAGAGGACTCACACCGGCAGGAAATACTACGCGTGCAAACAGTGTGACAAAACCTTCGTGTACCCCAACTCTCTTCGAAATCACAAATGGACTCACACCGGGGAGAGCCCCTACGAGTGTAAGCAGTGCGGAAAATCCTTCATTTCTCGCAAAAGCCTTCAAAGACACACGATCAGGCATACCGGGGAGGGGCCTTACAGGTGTCAGGTGTGCAAGAAGGCCTTTCAGTATCCCAGCTCCCTGCAGGTCCACGAGAGGACCCACTCTGGCGAGAAGCCCTACACATGTAGGAAATGCGGGAAGGCCTTCAGTCACGCCAAGTCCTTCGACGTCCACGAGAGAACTCACACCGGAGAGAAGCCGTACAAATGTAAGGAGTGCGGGAAGGCCTACGTCTACTCCCGGTCCCTCCGGTTACACGTGGAAACGCACACAGGAGAGAAACCCTACGAGTGTGAGAAATGCGGCAAAGCCTTCCGGCAGTCCGGCTCCCTTCGCGTTCACGAACGAATCCACAGCGGAGAGAAGCCTTACGGATGTCTAAAGTGTGGGAAGGCCTTCAGGGACTACAGCTCCCTGAGACTGCACGATCGGACCCACACCGGAGAGAAGCCCTACGAGTGTAAGAAGTGCGGGAAGGCCTTCAAGCAGTCCTGCTCCCTCCGGGAACATGAACGAACTCACACCGGAGAGAAGCCCTACGAATGCCTGAAATGCGGCAACGCCTTCCGACAGTACAGCTCCCTTCAGTCGCATGATCGAATCCACACCGGAGAGAAACCCTATGAGTGTAAGAGATGCGGGAAGGCCTTCAAGCAGTCCAGTTCCCTTCGGTCCCACGAGCGGACCCACAGCGGGGAGAGACCCTACGAGTGTCTGAAATGTGGGAAAGCCTTCAAGCAGTACGGTTCCCTTCAGTCACACGATCGAACCCACACTGGAGAGAAACCCTTTGACTGTAAGAAATGTGGGAAGGCCTTCGGGCGGAGCAGCTCTCTGCAGCTGCACGAGCGGACGCACTGGAGAGAGAAGCCCTACAAATGTACGCAGTGTGGGAAAGCCTACAGTTGTGGGAGTTCGCTCCGACTGCACGAGCGAGCTCACGCCGCTGAGAAACCCTGATCCTAGGAGACCCGTGGGGAGGCCTGCAGTCTGACCAGGGGCTTATCAAATCAAGGAAGGATATTCATTGCAGAAACGCTGTGAACGTTGGGTCAGCAGGTGGCGTAGTGGTTAAGGTGCTGGATTCCCAAGTGGCCAACTGCGGTTCAAGTCCTGGATGCGGTGGCTTGAAACTGACATGGGGCACGTGTGTGTGTACCCAGAATCGCAAGAGGAGAATGGGGGAGAAGGAATCGTGACATGGCCACTCCCCAAGGGTGGTGATTTCTCATTTTCTGTCTCTCCGGTGAGCACACGTGCCCTGTAGCAAAAATCTCAAAAAGAAAAAGGAAATGCTGTGAATGTCAGGAAAGAAAAAGCATTTAATTCCGCCAGCTCCTTTCAGACACAAGAGAAACCCTCGCAGGGGAGCGAGGCCCTGTGAGTGTCAAGAAATTCAGTGAGGTGTCTTTTTAGTGACTCGCAAGTCCATCAGAAATCAAATGCTATAAAGAAATTGAGAATTGTAAACATCGTAGGAAATAGTTTTTTTTTTCTTGTAAAGAATTATTTATTTAATTTTATTTATTGTTACTATTCTTCAGTTGGACCAGAAAGAGAAAGAGGGAGCATGAGAAGCAAGCTGCCAGGTCTGGGACTTGAACCGTGGCGAGCCATGTGGGAATCCAGTGCCTTCACCACCATGCCACCTGCCAGCCCCATCTTGTTTGGTCAGTGACCTTCCACATGAATGGAATCACTGAAGATAAGACCTTCCCATATTTCAAATGTGTAGAACTTAAGTCGTTAGAATCACTTCCAAAGGTGGCAAGGAGGTTAAGGTGGCCGGATCCCAAATGGCCAATTATAAGACTCAGGTCTTGGACCTGGTGTGGCTTGAAAATCATATTGGGTGTGTGTATGCATGCCCTGAGTCCTAAGACTGGAGAAGGAGGTTGTGGCCTGGCCGTCCCCCAAGGAGTGACCGCTCTCTGTCTCTCTGTCTCTAAATGCACATGCCCTATAGCAAACTTAAAAAAAAAACAATCAGTGCAGAGACTCAATGTAAGGAATGTCGGAAAAGCATTCTGCGTCCCACTTCTCAAAATACATGCAAGAGCTCACACAAGAAAAAAATAGCAGGTTTTTTTGTTTTTTTTTTAAGGAGGGGCCAGCAGGTGGTGTGGTGTTTAAGGTACTGAACTTCAACATGGTCGACCATGGTTTGAGTCCCAGATCAAGTTAAAAAGTAATAATAATGGGACCAGCAGTTAGCGTAATGGCTATGTTGCTGGACTCCCATGTAGTCGACCGTGGTTCGAGTCCTGGACCCGGTGGCTTAAACTCACCCAGGCCATGTGTGCGTGCGTGCCCGCCCAAGATCCCGAGAGGAGAATGGAGGAGAAGGGATTGCGGCGTGGCCATCCCCCCGTGGGGGGTGATTTCTCGCTTTCTGTCTCTCTCTGTCTTTCTGGTGAGCGCACGCGCCCTATAGCAAAAACGTCTTAAAAAAAAAAAAGCTTACCAGAAAAACAAAATGTGAGAGAAAGCCTTCATGGTTTCATTTTATCATTTGCCTGCTTGCACGCGTACTCACCAGGGAGCAAGCACCGTTCTTCCCCGTAGGCGGTGTGGCCACTCCACAGTCTCACCCATTTCTTCATCCTGCCTGAAAACAAGGCTGCTTGGGGACCAGCAGTTAGCGTAATGGCTATGTCGCTGGACTCCCACGTAGT